ACGAGATGGATTGATACGGTGCTGCGATGATGGGATCAAGTATAACAGGGATTGTGGGGCTGGCGTGGGATCGGGCAGTGTTTCGTTCTGCTGTGCATGGGGTCGCTATGAGTCGGAAACAACTCGACGGCACTTAACAACAACAACAACGTATATATTCTGGATAGTAAACTGTTTTCAGATAGTTCCCAAATGTTTTCTCCCATTCTGTAGGTTAGCTCTTCATTTTGTTGGTAAATCTTTTGATGAACAAAAAGTTTTTTATTTTTCATAAGTCCGATCCATCTGTTTTATTTTGCTCATACTTTAGGTGTCATATCTAAGAAGAATCTGTTGTCAAAAACTAGGTGTAGAAACTTTATCCTCTGTGTTTTTTTTTCTAGGAGTTTTATAGTTTTAGCTCTTATATTTGGGTCACTAATCCATTTTGAGTTCCTTAGTTTGTTTGTTCAGCCATCACCATTAACCATTATTGAATTTTTTCATCACCTTTAACAAAATATTTTGACTTATTTTTTTGTATATGGAATAAAGTTCAGATGCATTATTTCCATTGTTTTGCTTGTCAAGATCCAGTTGTCCCAGCACTAGAGGTGAAAGAGATTCTTCTTTCCCCACAGAATGATCTTGGCACCCTCTTAAAAATCAACTGCCCATAGATGTGTTGATTCATAATTTCATTCCAATCATTCTTTATACTTGTAGCACATTGTTTTGATTATTTCAGATTCATAGTATGTTTTGAAATTGAAATTTGTGAATCTTCGTACTTTGTTGTTCTTTTTCAAGATTATTTTGACTTTTGGGCCTCTTGCAATCCCTTATGAATTTGGTAATTGACTTTTCCATTTTTGCAAAAATAATGGTTGGGATTTTAATAGAGATTTTGTTGAATCTGTAGATTATTTTGCGTAGTACTAACATTTAATGATATTAGACCTTCCAATCCATGAACACAAAATGTCTTCCTGTTTATTTAGATCTTCTTTAGGTTTTTTTTTTTTTTTTGCAGTGTTTTATAGTTTCAAGTGCACAAGTCTTTCACATTCCTGGTTAAATTTATTCTTCTGTGTTTTATTCTTTTTAATGATTTTATAAATGGAATTGTTTCCTTAATTTGTTTTTCAGATTGTTCTCTGCTGGTGTATAGAAACCCAACTGATTTTTGTGCATTAACCTTTTACCTTGCAACTCTACTGAATTCATTTCTTAATTCTAGTACCTTTCTTATAGAACTTTTCAGATTTTCAATATATGTGATTATGCCATCCATAAGTAGCGATAGTTTTACTTCTTTCTTCAAAGTTTAGAAACTTTTTCTTGCCTAATTTCTCTGGCTAGGACTTGTGGTATAATATTAAATAGCAGTGGTAAGAGCAGGCTTTCTTCTCTTGCTCCTGCTCTTAAAGGGCAGTTCTTAATGTTTCCTTCACTGAGTATGATGTTGCTGTTAGTGCCATTAAGTGGGCTTTGACTACTAGTGACCTGATGTACAACAGAACTAAACACTGCTTGGTCCTGTGCCATCCACACTATCCATGCTATACTTGAGCACATTGCTGTAGCCACTGTATCAGTCCATCTCATTGACGGTCTTCCCCTTTTTCGCTGACCTTCTACTTTACAAAGCGTGATACCCTTCTCCAGGGACTGGTCTCTTCTGACAATATAACCAAAGTAGGTGAGATGAAGTCTGGCCATTCTTACTTCTAAGGAACATTCTGGCTGCAGTTCTTCCAGGTATGCATGTTAGCTGTGGGTTTTCCATAACAGCCTTTTACCATATTTAGGAACTTATCTTCTATTCCTAGTTTGTTGAGTATTTTTATCATGAATGGATGTTGTTAGGTACCAGTGAGTTGGTTTAGACTCATAGTGACCCTGTGTACAACAGAACAAAACACTGCCCATTCCTGCACCATCCTCACAATACTGCTATGTTTTGAGCCCATTGTTGCAGCCAGTGTGTCAATTCATCTCATTGAAGGTCTTTTTCTTGTTGATTCACTGCTTTATCAAGAATTATGTCCTCCTCCAGGGACTGATCTCTCCTGCTAACATGTCCAAAGTATGTGAGACAGAAGTTGGCTGTTCTCTCATCTAAGGAGCATATTGGCTATACTTCTAACAAGAGATGCTTGTTCGCCCTTCTGGCAAACCATGGTATATTCAATATTCTTCGTCAACACTATAATTCAAATGCATCAATTTTTCTTCAGTCTTCCTTATTCATTGTCCAGCTTTCACATGTGTATGAGGTAATTGAAATTACAATGGCTTGAAAGTTGTTGAATTTTGTCAAATGCCTATTTTGTATCAGTTGAGATGATCAAGTGGCTCTTTCAAACTATCTTTTTTTTTATCTATAGGATCTATAGAAGTGTTCCCTTTTTCATTTCTGTTATTGGTAATGTATGTTTTTCCTCTTTATTTCTTGATCAGACTTGCCTAACTGTTAATCATTTTTATTGATCTCTTAAAGAACCTATTTTGGCATTGGTGATGTTCCTCTTTTTAAAAATTTCAGGTCTTATCCTTATTTTTTCCTTATAAATTTTCTAGGTTTAATTTTCTTTCTTTTTCTAGCTACTTGAAGTAGAAGATTAAAGCATTGGTTTTAAACCTTGTCTTAAATCTTACTTTTTCTTTTTTTTTTATAAGATGTGCATTTATAGCTATAAATTTCATCACACAGATTTTGATATGTTGTACTTCCATTGTCATTCCAGATTCTTGTCATTCTCTTTGGTTTTCTCCTCTTTTTCAAGACTTCTTCTTTATGATTTATTTCATACTGCCCAAATGCTTATTATCTACTTAAGTTTATCTTTATATAAGAGGGAGGAATGCAGGGAGGGAACTCACAGTTTATTGTCTCCTACTATTTTCTTCAATTCATCATCACCATCAGTCTGATTTGTTTGTTTTCAGGTTACAGCCCTTTCCCAATTTTATGAGTGATATCCTTTTTGAAACCTTGCATATCCAATAATATTGCTTGGATGCTATTCAGTGAATGACATCTTGGCTAAATATAGGATTCCTAGGCATTTGACTGCTAATCAGAAGGCTAGAGGTTCAAACCCACCAGCCACTCCTCAGAAGGAAGGTTGGGCAATCTACTTCCATAGTGATACCAACTCAGAAACCCAAGGAGTGGTTGCTGTGAGTCACATCTGACTTGATGGCAGTGAGTTTGAGTTTGAGGGTTGTATTTCTTTCATCTTGGTAACCTGTAGATATTTCAGTGGTTTTAGGTTCCATTGTTGCAGTTGAGATATCTCATGTTAGACTGATGCTTTTATATAAGAAATCGTTTTTGGTTGACCTGGAGCTTCAATGATTTTCTTATTTTTTCTTTTTTTAAATTTAGAAATTAGAAACTAACTTCATTTGTTTAGTTATGTCTCACCTGTCTAGCCTGGAACTTGATTCAAATCACAATCTCAGATCCTTTTTAATATAGTTAAATTTTCTTCTATTTCTTGTTTAATCATTACCTGTTTTATGTTTCTCTTGAATTTCTATTTTTTGCATAGTGGAACTCCTGGATCTATCTTCCAGGTCTATTCCTTCTTCATTTTCATCAATCTTTACATTTTTACCTTGTGTTTTGAAGTGTTCTGAGCTCAATAGGGACCAATAGCTCCTCCAGTTAATCTGCTAAATTGTTAACTTTGGAAATCATGTGTTTTGTATCTATAAAATCTTGTTTTGTATTGTATTTTAATCTCCTTCAGGAATTTTCATTATTTTTCTGCTAAAATTGTTACCTGTCTCATCCATAGCTGAATTCCACTGATTGACTGATACTCTTATTTATAGCTGTTGGACTCCCTTGGATGTGTGCCTATTTTTTATTGTCAGTCTCTTGAAACTCAGGTCTAGAGTGGAGACAAATTATGTCCTGTGGGCCATAGTCTGCAATAGCAGACAAGCTATCAGTCACTACATAGGCCTGGCACCCCCAGAGTCCCCATTTGCCACACTTCTCATTCTTTTCCCAAGCTCAGGACTCTGCCTATCCTTTCTGTAGCTTTTTGGGCTCTTTGAATGCCAGTGACACTAGACACACTTATGTAGGGATTATGCTAACTACCTCTACCCTGTTCTACTCCTGCTGTTATCTGTAGTCCACAGATCATGTGAACTGACCCCCTGCAAGGATCTGCTACCCTGTATTCCTCATACAGGATTCTCTAATGCAGTTCTCTGGTCTCTCATTTTACCTGTGGAAGAGAACTCCCTGCATCCATTCTCTGTGCTTCAATTACTAGGAAATACTGGGCCTCCCACACTTAGGTAATCCCAAGCAACAGCAGTCTTCTGACTTAGTTCAGGCAGAGTTATAACTAGAAGAAGAAGGAAAGAGAGCTGCATTTGGGTTTCTGTCCTCCCAGAACAGACTTATTTTACACTAGTAATACTTTTCTTTAAGTAGTTAATGTGAAGAAACACTGATGCATTGTTTTAAATAGATTATTTTTTATTGTTTACTGGGTAATGAAGTTTAGTGTTTTCAATACCTTTTTTTTTTTTTGCTTCCCTTACAGAAATGACAGTTTATTCTAAGTGTTCTTAGTATAATCTATAGTCTATATATGAGTATTTTATAAATATCATAAAATAGCTGTGGTGAGGGGGATATTTATTTTTAAAAAATAAATAAAGCCATGAATTTTTGTAGGAAATTTGACAAGTACTTTAAAAATACACTGAAGTAATGAAGCATGTTTATTTTAATGGTGGTAGAATAATTTAGAGAAGGACAGTGATAATGTTTGCATAACAAGAAGAACAAAATCCTTGCCACTGAATTATATGTTGTACATGAATTATACATGTAGAAGCTGTTGAATTTGCTGATGTTTTGTTGTGTATATTTTTATCACAATAATTTTTTAAATGCACTAAAATATTTGCTATTTACATTATTTTATGTTTTCCTTCCCCTGCAAATAGGCAACACATAAATATTCTTTTTTATTATATGTTTATAGGTTAGCATGGCCTCACTCAAAGAATTAGACCAAAGACTGTTTGAAAATTACATTGAGTTGAAAGCAGATCCTATTGTTGGCTCCCTAGAGCCTGGGATTTATGCTGGGTGTTTTGATTGGAAAGATTGCCTACCTCCAACCGGTAAGTTGTTTCAAGTCATTAGAGTTTAGTCTATTGCATTTGGAATAAAAAAAATAAAGATATGATTTTATGCATTAATATATTCTTAAGATGCTTTTCTTTTTATTCAGATTTTTTTCTCATATTTAGTTGAAGGGAGGGTATTAGTTTGATTTTAATTTTTTATTAGCTTAAAACCTTTTTTCATAGCTTAGGATTTAGTATATTTTTTATTATTAATACTTAATGTCTTAAGGTTATTCTCAGATTTCCAGAGAATAATTAATTATATACCTTGTAACAATTGATCATGTTAGTAATACATACTTGTTACCTATGGTACCCCTTTATTGCAAAGATAGAATAAAATGACTCTGAATGACAGTTTTATGCAGTGACCTTGTGAATGTTATTTAAAAATATGCTTAAGAAATCTGGTCACTTCTATGTAAGACCCAAGTATGGATGCTATAAAGGTGAAGGATATGAGGAAAGTGTGTAGGAGTAAGATTATTACAGTAATTTAGCAAAGAAAACTAAACCACAGAAAGATGACTGACAAGAGTTATAGTATTGTCTTTGTGATATCAAATGACAGTTGTGTAAATCATTTTTCCATAATGTATCTTTTAAAAATAACCCTTGCTTACTGAATCAGATAAATTTTTGATTGATCCAGTAGTTATTTCTTTGTATGAAATAGTGTGAAGTACATAAAACCAAGCTACTTATTAACATTTTCATATAGAAGTTGTCTATATGAAATTGACAGCCTTATGTGCTTATACTGTATGCATGGGTGCTTTTTGGACATATGGATGTAGCTCTATTAGTGGATTATTAACCAGTTTGCCTTAATCTTCATTCTTTTAATTAATCGCTTTAATCACTTTTATTTTTATTCTATGGTATTTTTATTAGATGGTGATAAAGTTATTTACTTTGTATGTAACTTTGGTTTTTATAATATAGTGTTCAAATCAATTGGTAATAAATATACTGATGAAAATCTAAAATAAAAACTAGCATCATTAAATTAATAACAGTTTGTGAAACCACAAGTGTTTGTGTGAAATCAATGCTATTGCAGTCCTATGAGGCCTTCTATCTCCAGCTGACCAAAATTTCTCTTGTTTAAGCTTCATTCCTTTTCTATTCATATGCTTTACTGTGCCCAAACTGGATTACTGTTTATATCCCAAATATATCCTTTGAAAGTCTAAATCAGACCCTGTTAATATCTTCCATAAACCTGTGAAATATCTTTATGTTGAACCACAGTACAACCTGAGCATTTTACTTGCACCACAGAGTTGTGCACAAACTGCCTTCACATCTGCTACAACATTGTCCAGTCCCTGTCCCACCATATTCCACACATGCCTGTGGACCCTCCCACTGCTGGGCTTCTTCATGGCAGTATTCCCCTGAATAGATAGTTTTTCCTTGAAATCTTCAAAGGACCAACTCCCTTTTGTCATTCAGGACTCAGCTTACATGTATCACCACAGCAGCCATCCAGTCTGAAGTAATTCCATGACAGATGGAGACTCTACATGTAGTTGTAAATTTAACTTGTAAAAATTACTAAAATTTCATTTGTAAAGTAATTGCTTACAAGGAAGAATGCTGCAGATTTAGATTCTAATTTTAAGAGTTTCACTGAAGGCCTTTTGTGGTTGAGCTCATTAGAGCTAAATTAATGAGGTCATAAAATTTTTTTTAAAAAAAGTTGCCATTGATTCCATTCCAACTCATAGTGATGCCATGTGTGTCAGAGTAGAACTGTGCTCCAAAGAATTTTCAATGAATGATTTTTTGGACATAGATGACTAGCTTTCTTTCTTCTCAGGTGCCTCTGGTATAGACTTGATCCTACATTCTTTTGATTAGCAGCTAAGTGCTTAACATTTTGTATTACCTTGGGACTCTGAATGATGCCATCTTATTGTTGATGTTAAGTGCCATCAAGTTGGATCTGACTCATAGCGATCCTGTGTACAACAGAACAAAACACTGCTCAGTCCTTCACCATTGTTACGATCATTGCTATGCTTGAGTCCATTGTTGCAACCACTGTGTCAATCCATCTCATTGAAGGTCTTCCCCTTTTTTTCTGACCCTTCACTTTATGCAGCATGATATCCTTCTGCAGGGACTATTCCCTTCTGACAACATGACCAAAGTATAGGAGACAAAGTCTGGCCATTCTCTCTTCTAAGGAGCATTCTGTCTATATTTCCTTCAAGACAGACTTTATTATTTCTAGCAGTCCATGGTACATTCAGTATTCTTCACTAACCCTACAATTCAAATGCATGAATTCTTCTTCTGTCTCTCTTATTCACTTAGCTCTCACATGCATATGAGGTTGTTGAAAATACCATGGATTGGGTCAGAGGCACCTTAGTCTTCAAAGTGATATCTTTGCTCTTAAACACTTTAAAGAGGTCTTTTGCAGGAGATTTGCCCAGTGCAGTATGTAGTTTGATTTCTTGACTGCTGCTTCCATGGAAGTTGATTATGGGTCCAAGTAAAATAAAATCCTTGACAACTTCAGTCTTTTCTCCATTTATCATGATGTTCCTTATTGGTCCAGTTGTGAGGATTTTTGTTTTCTTTATGTGGAGGTATAATCCATACAAAATGCTGTAGTGTTTGATTTTCATCAGTAATTTCTTCAAGTCTTCTTCACTTTCAATGAATGAGGTCATAGTCTGGGGTTAATTATAACAAAGTTGTTGGATAAAACCAACCTTTTATAGTAAGCATCATCTATAACTTTTAAGTGAACAAACACAATTTTCTATAAATTATCATACTCGGGGGCATCTGGAACTTTCAATCTAGAATCCCTTTTCAAGACTCATGTTGTTGTTGTTGTTATTGTTATGTGCCGTTGAGTCATACCTGACTCATAGCGACCCCTCCTTGGGTTTCCGAGGCAGTATCACTACGTAAGTAGGATTGCCCAGCCTTCCTTCTGAAGAGTGGCTGGTGGGTCATAGGCCCAGATTATTTTTGGAATTCAGGCACTTTTGGATTTTAGAAAATACATATGCATATCTGTATATGATCTGGTGTTCCCTGTATTGCTGCAGAGAAATGTATGAATATTCAGACTAGGAGGAATAATGAATATAAATATCCTTATTCATTTCATGTGAGAACTGCCACCTAGTTCTCAAAAGCACCTTGTCACTTCTATATCTGCCATATCTAGGCTACCACTTGGTACACAGTGCAGGTATGCTTCTTATTGTCATCTCTGCTTGCCTAATGCTCACACTCTGCCTTGTCCACCAGTCCCCCATTTCCTCATGTGTCAGTGTGTCAGTGGGGGTCTAACTTCACAGTCCCCTACTACTCCTGACATCTGACATTCCTCCTGACTTGTCATTCTCTAGGCCCTATTATATGCTATACTCTTTTAGTTCATTATATATATATATGTATGTGTGTGTATGTATATATATATATGTATATGTATATTTTTTTGTTATTTCCCTTTGGGACAGACACTGAAAAAGCTTTTCAACAAAATCCCTTTATATTCTATTCATGGCAACAATAAGCAGTTCTCAGATGTTGCCCTTCCTAAGTTGCTGGCCTTCTGCTAGGAACTGTTTCCTGGGTCTCTTTTGGATTTGTTCAGCAGGGCTGAGCAGAACTGGGTGTCACCATTGACTGTCCTTCTTAGCCTTGGAAAGAACAGAAAGAGATCCCAAGCTCTGAGTCTCCCTCCTTATGTCCATGGTGACTGACAGTGATGGCTTCCAGTAAGCATGCTTTGTTTTTACATTTAGGGCACCAAGAGAAAGTGTTTATCTTTCTCCAAAAGAGTTATTGCAAAGTAACAAGGATGCAGAACACTCATCTCATGTTTTATTCCCTCTACTTGCTTTTTTTTTTAGTTGCTGTTTTAGTGCTGCTATAACAGGAATACCACAAGTGGGTTTTAACAAACAGAAATTTATTCTCTCACAGTTTAGGAGGCTGGAAATTTTGGCTGATAACTGAAATGTCAGTGGTTCAAACCCACTGCTCTGTGGTGTAATCTTTATGCTTCTTCCGTAAAGATTACAGCCTTGGAAGTTCTGTTCTGTCCTATAGTGTCACTTTGAATCAGAGTAGACTTGACAGCACATAACAACACCATAATAATAAATTAGGTCCAGTCACTAAGTTTCCCAAACCAATTGTTCATGTCTGTCTTCATTTAAACTCTAATTGTTACAGAGAAACATTATTTACCTGCAACTGATGAAAAGGAATTCTTTTTCTTTGCTGAACTTTTCTTGATGTGCCACTTCTCGTAGCTTTTCCTGATGACCCACAGAAACCAGCCATAGTGACTAAAGTGGCCTGCTGAGTTAGGATACAGACCTTCTTCCTCATCACTTCCCTTCTTCAAGGAGTTTCTTCAGAAAAGGGGCACAGACAAGGTCCTATACTCTCTTAAGGGATGCAGTTAGATAACTAATTCAGGTGCTGTGCATGTTGGCCCTACACTGGTGTGATCTAGTGGAAACACTCATGAGAATTAACAGGAGGGCAGGGGTTTTATCACTGAAGGTGTTAAGCCAAGAGAAATAGGAATCCATTGCATCCAATATCTAGGTCCTTAGTTTGTAATATTTGTGTAAGTACCTTTCTCTCTTTTGTTTATGGCTTTCAACCATGAAATCAGACTGGTACAAGCCATTGGTATGAATTAGGACTACAGTCTAAAGGTAACCATGAGATCATGAGATTGACCTTAATCAATGATTGTTTAGAGTCTCTGGATAATTTTTTATATATACAGAATTAAAATTTTGCTGACATTTAAGTATGGCCCTTTTCCCTAGCTCCTTTAAAAAAAAAAAAAAAGATATTTCCTCTCATAAGCAAGTGTTGCAAGGCACTATAATACCAGAAATTTATTGACTCTTTCTTGGATTCGCAAACACTTGTTGTTGTTGTTACGTACCGTTGAGTCGGACCCAACTCATAGCGACCCCTCCTTGGGTTTCCAAGGC